AATAACCATAAAACTAGCTTAACCTGTAATTAAAGTTCTTAATAAGCTTAGAAATTCTAATAACAATTTTAATCTTTTTAAACAATGTAAATATTGAAACAAAATCCACATCAGTATTAATTTGGATCTTTTGATAGCAGTATATACTTTCACTATGTGAACCTCTGTGGTGAGCAGGTTGTGGTAGCACAGGCCTGTTCTCCCAGCACTGAGACCGAGACAGAAGAATCATGGGAGATTGAGGCCAACCTCCGCTTCATGGCAAGACCCTGTCTCAAGAAAACAGCAACAGTGCTTGTTTCAGCAGCACATATACTAAAACTGGAATGATACATAGCTGGGTGTAGCCGGGTGTGGTGTCACACGCCTATAATCCCAGCACTCAGGAGGCTGAGGCAGGAGGATCACTGTGAGTTTGAGAGCAGCCTGGGCTACATAATTAGTTCCAGGTCAGTCTCAACTACTTAGTGAGCCATCTCAAAAAAACAACAAACAAACAAACAAAAAAATTGGAATGATCCAGAGAAGATTAGCATGGCCCCTGCACAGGGATGCAAACTCATAAAGTGTTCCGTATTTTTTTGTTGTTGTTTGTGATCATCCTGTCTCACCCTGTCAGAGTGCTGGGCTTTACAGGCTGTACCACCATGCCAGGCTCTTATCGTAAAATCTTAAAGTTGAAAGAGATGTTAATGATATTCAAACTTACTTTTCTTTTCTATTTTGGAGGTGGCTTTTGTTTGTTTTTGGTGATATTGGGGATTGAACAGAGGACCCCCCCACTCTACCAGTGAGCTGCATCCCCAGCCCTTCCTTCCTCTCTCTCTCTTCCTTTTTCTTTCTTCTTTCTCCTCCCCTTATAATTTATATATTTAATTTTTTTTTGTACCAGGGATTGAACCTGGGTCCCTGGGCTTGCAAGGCAGGCAACAGAACCACTGAGCTAAATCCCTGGCCCAAGATTTTTTTTTTAAGATGCTGTCTCACTATATAGTTTCAACTGGCCTTGAACTCACTGTAATGAGTTCACTATAGCCCAGGCTGGCCTTGGACTTGTGGCCAGCCCTCCACCTGCCTCAGCCTCCTGAGTGCTGGGATCACAGGTGTGTGCCACCACACCTGGCCTATGCATTTCTGATTTAACGGAGTCATTTAAGAGCTCTCAGAGTCTGACGTCACCTCCACCACTTGTCACATCCACTCTGTGTGATGGTGACTTTCCCAGTGTGTAGCAGGCCTCAGCCATTGCTCCTCCTCCCTATCACCTTCCCAGCCCTTCACCACCAAGCTCCGGCTCACCAGCGCCTGAGCATGTTTGAGACTCGGCTCCAATGGAGCAGTCACTCAAGATCGCTGCCTTCAGCCTTGGAGCTCGTTGAAGGCCAGGGTCCGCTTGCACTTGTACCCTTTGTCCCTGCTGGTGTGTGCACATGTAGCGATGATTTAACTGACTATGGAGTTTGCTCTTTCCTGGGGCAGCAGTTCTACTGTCAGCTGTTAGTTGTGTGATTCCTCGTACTGAGCTAAATCCCGCTTTGGTTATGGCGCCTGCCCGTAGTTGCTCTCTAAAGCTGTATGGAACAAGCCCGCTCCTTCTTCCAAAAGGCTGCAGTTTGGTCTGTGGGTATAGTTCAGTTGGTAGAGTGCTTTTCTAGCATGCACAAAGCCCTGTTCCCAACACGGCAAAAACAAAGTAAAGAAATACAAAGAACTTAAGAATAGAAAGTTTGGGGGTTTTTTGTTTTGTTTTGTTTTTTTGTTTTTTGAGGTGGGTACTGGGGATCGAACTCAGGACCTTGTGCTTTGGTTTTTTTTTTTTTTTTTTTTTGAAAGACTGCATTTCAGATGAAGAGTTGTATGGAGACCATCTCTGTGGTTAATGTGAGGTTTGGAATAAATCTGTCGAAAACTGATAGCTAACCTGAGGCTGACATCATTATATGTATGACCACTGTCACCACTGCTGTTTCTACGTTTCCTGCTGGAAACCTGTGGAGACTTGCAGTGGGAATCCTCAGGCTCTGCAGCTCGTAGAACCTTCCTTTCTGTTCTTCTGTCTTCCTGGTGTCCCGCTAACAGCTTCAGCGTAATATCTCTGACCATCATCTCTGCTCATGTTTGCTTGTAACCAAAAATTTAATGCTGGGCCGGGGATTTAGTTTAATGGTGCCACCGCCTGCCTTGCAAGCACAGGGACCTGAGTTCGATTCCCAGTACAAAAAAAAATAAAAAACAAACAAATTTAATGCTTACATAAGGCAAAACAGACACGACTACATTTTAATGTACAGTCTTTCTACATTTTTATGATTCGATATCTTACCAGGCCATAAAGTATTTGTATTTAAATCATATAACTTGTAATTCACAGGGAGTTCCAAATGAGGGAGCAGATTTTATATCCCCCATGTGATTGTGATCTTAATGCTTGTATGTGCCAAATAGTCTTCCCAGTACAATCAGTGGCCAGATTGTTTAAAGCCTCATTCACTTGTCTCTACTGACTTTAAAATAGGTTCTTCTGTTGTTTGTGTTTGCTTGTCTGGGAGTTTGAGTAGTGGGCTTTCCCAAGCCAGTCTGGCTGGTTTCCCATTCTGAGACTGGCACGGTGGGTTTTGTCATGGGGGCTAGAGGTGGGCACAGAAACCTGCAGTGAGAGGTGCGAGGGAGGGAAGGGAATGAGGAAAAAGAGGAAATGAGTTATATCATGTACAGATACAAATTCCCTAGGATGAATGTGATCATTATGTATATCTGAAATGTACCAATAAATGTTTTGCTTCAAAAAAAACCAACCCCCCCCAAAAAAAATACTGAGCCACGTGTGGTGATGCATCCCCTCTAATCCCAGTACATAGTCAGAGGCTGAGGCAGGAGGATCACTACAAATTGGAAGCCATCTTGGGCTGCATAGCAAATTCAAGACCAGCCAGAACTACATGGTGAGTCTCTGTCTCAAGATAAACAAAATAGCCAGGGATTTAGCTCAGTGGTTCCACCACCTGCCTCACAAGTGCAAAGACCTGAGTTCAATCCCTGATACCAAAAAAAAAAAAAGAGGGAAGAAAAACAAAAAGGGCTGGGGATTTAGTCCAGTGGTGCTGCCACCTGCCTTGCAAGCACAAGGTCCTGAGTTTGGTCCCAGTACAAAAAGAAAAAAAGAAAAACAAAACAACCCAAACATAACTCTGCCAGTAGTGCAGAGACTGAGGAGGCAGGAATATAAGCGATGGGATCAGAGGCCACTGCAGTAGATTAGACAAGAGGCCATAAGAGTTTCAGCAAGTCAGGGAAGGCTAGCTACCTGTGGGCAGATTTGAGCAATATTCAGGAAGCAGAATTGATAGAAACCTCATGATGGATTCAGCGGAGGGCTGTGGAGAGAGAACAGAAGGTGTTCTGTTAGGTTCCTGGTCTAGGCAGCTAGATGATGGAGACCCAGTTTGTAGAGGTGTAGGGGTGGGCAGGGGAATGCTCAAGATTTTAGTGTGGAGTAATATGAATCAAAGGTGGGATTTCTGCACTTTAAAGAAGCTGCCAGATGACTCTAATGCACTCCCCAAGTTAAGAAATGTTAGTATAAAGAAAAAATAATAGAGAACTGTTGATATTGAGTTGAATGTTTGAAACTAAAGTTCACAAGAGTTTGGTGAGGGATGTGTAATGCCATATGCCTCTAGTGCCAGCTACTCAGGAGGCTGAGGCAGGAGGATTAAAAATAAAGTCATGGGCCGGGGATTTAGCTCAGTGGTTCCACCACCTGCCTCATAAGCACAAGGTCCTGAGTTTGAGCACCGGTACAAATAAATAAATAAATAAATAAATAAAATAAAAAATTCAGTCACCCTGGGCTGTTTAATACAACTCTCTCAAGAAAAGAAAGATGGTGGTGGGGGTGGAGGGATGTAGCTCAGTCTCCCTGCATTCAATCCTCAGTACTAAAAAAGCAAAAGAAAAAAAACACAGGTGGACAGGTGTGCTGGCACACAGCTATAATCCCAGCACTTGTGAAGCTACGGCAGGAGGATTACCAGAAGTTGAGGTCAGCCTGGGCTACATAATCCAAAAAAACCTCGCAAATAAATAAGATTATGGGATGATTCCAGTGGAGAAGGGAATGTTGAATATATAGGGAAGAGCATAATGATTCCACCTATACAAAGCTCAGATGGAAAAAACTGATTGTAGTTATGAAGGTAGTTAATGGTAGTATAATGAGAGAACAGGAGAGAACAGTTGTAAGGAAAGTAGGGTATTGATCCATTATTGATAATTTGGTAACTCTGGGTACTGTGCTGGCTGCCCCTTGACTGGGGTTGTCCATATTCCTTGGGCCAGCTCAGCTTTTAGCCTGACCCAATCCCCTGGGTTGTAAACTACTACACTATTTAAAATTTTTAAGGGCCGGGGATTTAGCTCAGTAGTTCTGGCACCTGCCTTGCAAGTGCAACAACCCGAGTTCGATCCCCAGTACCAAAAAAAAAAAAAAAAAAAAAAAAAAAAATCTTATTTAAAAAAAAAAAAGAAGCATATCCATATCCAGGCCGGGGATTTAACTCAGTAGTTCTGGCGCCCGCCTCACAAGTGCAAGGACCTGAGTTCGATCCCCGGTACCAAAAAAAAGAAAGAAAATTTTTATTTATTATAATTTTTATGCCTACTCAACATCATTTACCATGTAGATTTTCTTACTGGGTATGGTGGCACACACCTGTAATCCCAGCAGCCAGAAGGCTGAGGAAGGACTATTGAGAGTTCAGTGCCAGTCTGGATTACATATTGAGATCCTGTCTTTAAAAAAAAATTTTTTTTCTCACTGAAAGAGAAATCAAAGATGTACTGTACTACTCCACAGTTGTATTCTCTAAATGTTAATCATTTTTCAATACTGATACAATATTTGAAGCTGACACTTAAACATTGAAATTTTTTGCACTTATCTAACAGTATTATAATCAGGCTACAGTTTTGCTACAAGTACATTTTGTGTTTGTCTTTAGTACCAGGACCCTCTGGTGACAATGGCATCAGTATTACTATGATTTTGATGGCCTGGATGGTTATTGCAATGATCTTGTTTCTTCTGAGACCTCCCAATCTAAGAGGATCCAACTTGCCAGGAAAGCCAAGCAGTCCTCATAATGTAAGTGCTGTGTGTTTTAAGTGTTGGTGGAATGGGTGTGTGTCTGTGGCCTGGGGAGGGAAAGAGCTTATTCTGACTGAAATGTAGTATCTAAATTAGCAAAAGGGAGGCTTAACTCATGCATTGAGTTCTTCCTGTGTAGTCTAGTATATCTTGCAGTTCACCATAGAGAACAGCACAAATGAGTAGTCCAGTAATTTAAAAGTGAATTCCAGTCTCACAAGAAACATCAAAGATCACACTCATATGCTACCGCCTGCCTCACAAGTCTAAGGTCCCAAGTTGGATCTCCGGTACAAAAAAAAAAACAAAACAAATCACACTCATAACACAACTGGAAGCTCCGTCCTCCACCATCCCCTCTGGCCAGCTCGCAGCTGGGCCTTGACTGCTCACACTTCCTCCTCACCCTCACTCTCTCTGCAGCTTCAGTTCAGCATCTCACCCCTTCCAGCTGAGCGTTTAAATTCAGTGCATGCAAAGACTCAGAGCCTATCTGGCTAAATTCTGTTTTCTTCTTGTTTTCCCATAAGATTAATTTTCAGGCCAGGGATTTAGCTCAGTGGTTCGGTGGCCTGCCTTGCAAGCGCAAAGACCCAAGTTCAATCCCCGGTACCAAAAAAAAAAAAAAAAAAAAAGATTAATTTTCCTTTTTTTTAGATTTAAAAATTGCAGAGGCAGGTCGAGGGACTTAGCTCAGTGGTTCTGCTACCTGCCTTGCAAGCACAAGGGCCTGAATTCGATCCCTGGTACCAAAAACAAAACAACAAACATAGTGATCGTCCTAGTATCAACATTGTACATCCTGTCAACAGTGTAGAAGGGCTCCCTTTTCCACACAACCTCACCAGCATTTGTTATTTTTGTGTTACACATGATGGCCATTCTTTCTGGAATAAGGTGTTGTTTTAATTTGCATTTTTCTAATGGCCAGAAATGTTGAACATTTTTTTATGTATTTGTGGGCCATTTGTACTTCTGAGAATAAGTGTCTGTTCATTTCACTTACCTGTGTGTGTGTGTGTGTGTGTGTGTGTGTGTGTGTGTGTGTGTGGTACCAGGAATCAAATTCAGGACCTTACACTTGCAAGGCAGACTCAGTGCCACTGAGCTAAATCCCCAGCCCACCAGTTACCTATTTTTTGATTGGGTCTTTTGTTGGGGGAGGGCTGTGCTTTTTTTAGTTCTGCATATATTTTTGATATCAGTCCTCTGAGGAATAGGTGGCATTTAACAGCTGAGCTCCATTCCTGCACCTAGGTCACTGAATGAAGTGGTCACTAAATGAGGAATTATATATAATATATATAATATTCAGAACAAAGAAATGGTCAAAGGGAACTCCAACTTGATGACTGCATTTATTTGCGTGACTCTTATATGCAGTACTGTAATGTAGAACTACAGTACTATACTGTACAATATAATCAGCAAAAATTACAGTACTGTATACACAAGTTATACTGTCTGGGCATGGTGGCACATACCTGTAACTTTAGCACATGGGAGTCTGAGGAAAGAAGATTGCTACCAGTTTGAGGCCAACCTGAACTATTTAGCAAGATCCTGTCTCAAAGAAGGGAAAAAACAGAGCTGTTAAGATAATGTTGCATGGTGACTTCGGTTATGAAAGAAGACATTATTAGCACATAGAAAAATCTTAAATTTACTTTTGGTTTTCCTTGAAAGAATGGAGTATTCGGGGCCAGGGATTTAGCTCAGTTGTACTGCTGCCTGCCTCACAAGCACATGGTCCTGAGCTCAATCCCTGGTACCGCCCCCCAAAAAAGAGTCTATTCATAAAACAGCTTGCATACTGTCTTGATAGTATTTTTTCCTTACCCTTTTTTCTTACATTGTATACAGCTTTATTACCTTCTTTTTTTTTTTTTTGGAGACAGGGTCTCACTATGTAGTTGAGACTGACCTGGAACTCACTACGTAGCCCAGGCTGGTCTCGAACTCACAGTGATCCTCCTGCCTCAGCCTCCGAGTGCTGGGATTACAGGCGTGCACCACCATGCCTGGCAAGCTTTATTACTTTCATGTCAAAGAACAACTTCCTCGATGTTTTGGAGCTTAAGAATGCCAATTTAATATCTAGACTTAGAAATAGTTAAAAATGATACACCCCAGATTAAGGCTCATTGTAAGCAGAGGTTCTAGAATAGTAAATAGTCCTTTTGCCCTGTGACTAAGCAAGAAAAAACATTTGTAATTGCAAGTAGAAATACTGATCACCCTTAACTGAGCCCTTACAGAGCATGTCAGTGTAAGTAAATTAAATCTTCCTGAAGACCCCCCAAGACCTGACCTTTTCAGTTCAGATGCTTTCTATTGTAGGTGATGAACACTAATTTAAAGTGGTTTATAAAAGTGGCTGTATTAGTTTACACATTAAAAAACAAAACAGCTGGGCATGGTGGCGCACGCCTGTAATCCCAGCACTCAGGAGGCTGAGGCAGGAGGATTGCTCTGAGTTTGAGACCAGCCTGGGCTACATAGTGAGTTCCAGGTCGGTCTCAACTATGGAGTGAGACCCTGTCTCAAAAAACAAAACAAAACAAAACCTCAAAGGTAGGTTTTAGTGCTTAGAGATTTTGTTTTAGTGTGGTTTTGTTTTGTTTTGTTTTGTTGTGTGACAGGGCCTCTATACATAATCCAGGCTGGCCTTGAGCTCACTGGATCCTCCTGTCTCAGCCTCCCAGGTTCTGGGATTACAGGAGTGTGCCACCACTCTCAGCTTCTGTCATCAGAGACCAGGTTTCTCTCTTCTTACCACCAGATTCATTGCCAGGTGGTCATCCCACAGTTGTAGAATACCTGCCAGAAGCAGCTGCAGCCCCACAATCCTTTTGGACATTATGTGAGAAAGAAAAGGACCTTGCTTTGCAATGAATGCTCAGCCAATCACTTCAGCCAGGGGAAGGTGACTCCTGAAGCTGGAAGAAAATCACCTTGCTGCTATTCAATGTCCCTTTTCCCACATGCCCCAGAGAGGTGTGAGACAAATTGCAAAATTAGTGCTAACCCAGTGTTCCCATGTGTAAAAACGTATGAAAAGTCCAAAATAAACACACAGTTTGGGTTGGAGGATTGGAGCATTGCTACTCAGTTCTTATATGTGTTAGATTGATTGTACCAGGATTGAAGAAGTCACTTAAAGAATATCTTTTCTTTTTCTTATTAGTGCATGCTTACAGCAAATATTGATTCATATTTATTTCTTTTTAATGCCAGGGGCAGGATCCGCCAGCTCCTCCTGTGGACTAACTTTGTGATACTGGAAGCGAAAATAGCTAACACCTTGCACGACCAAATGAACGGAATTGTCTGGAGTGATCTTAACCCACTAGAAGAGTTTTCCTTTTGCGTCTGCAACATGGGATGGTATTGTTTCCATAAGCTTCTAGAAATTTCACTTGCAAACTTATTTTTGCTTCCTGTGTTATCAACATTCCTATTGACAGTATGTTTGAGTAAATGATTATATTAAAAAATATATGTACATGGGGCTTTTTTTGGTTGTCCTAAACTTAAACATTCCATTAATTCTATTTGTGACTATGATCATTAATTTTGTGGTGATTTCTGGCCTGATTGAAGGAAATTTGAGATTTCTGCATTTTAATATTTTAAATAGTTTTGATAGATTTAAAAAATTTTTTTCATACGGTATTTATAAAGTTATTTGGGGTTATCTGGGTCTGTATGAAAGAAAATGAGAACCACAGTTGTATTTACATTTACCTTCTAGTTTATTTTTGGGTGGCAGTTTCCTCTATTTCTGGGCTGTGGCAGCTCTTAGAATATTTTACAAATTATAGGTGAAATCTGTGTCACTCATTACAATTGGTTTATATGGCCATAGTAAGAGGAGAGAAGTGAAATGGTTGTTTACTGATTTTTTTTATTCCCATTAAAAATGTCTAGTGTTAAGAATACTTTAAACAAACATGGTTATCAGTATGATAGATGATTAATAGGCCATTATATAACATTTGCAGTTGCAAGTCACTGTACACTAGCCTTACAAGGTTCATGAAAATAGGGGAAAAGTTCATGTGTTCTGCCATTGCCAGGTAGAATCTGTTCAGTAATAATTTAAGCTATAATTTATTTCTAAAATGAGTGCCTCTCAGGAAGCTTCTTTTCTAACATTTCCCTATTAAAATGAAACTATCTTACATCTGTATTGGGGCCTGTTGGGTTACTGACATTTGAATGCCTATTTATTCACTTTTTTATTTGAAGAAAAAATTTGAGCCTTTTATTATCCTTGCGACTTTAAAATTTTTTACATGAAGTCTTGGTTTATTCCAAGGGAAAATGAGGAAAATAAGAAACAATGAGGAATCTTTTTCTTACTCTTTAACCTCATGCCTATTTGTTGAAGGGGTACATCAGGGTGAGAAAGAGCATAAATATAAGTGAGATTTCAGAGTATATAAAAAAGGAAAAGGGTTCATTTTTATGCTCAGTTTGGAAAAAAAAAGTGAATACAAATAGCATTTTAAATGTCTGCATGACCCATGTGGTTTTAGAGTTTTTCCCTAGCAAATGATTACAGTTTGTTTATGGGGTCTAGAAGATATTTTCCTATCAATGTAAGGATTTCCCTGACAGGTCAGTCTAACCTTTCATTGTACAGCATAGATCTGAGAAATTATTTCTGTGAATTCAATAAACTTCTCTATATCATTATATTGGTTAGTCTCTCTGATATAGTTGTTGTGTGATACTTTTAGGGTATTTTCCCCCTTTATGACTACATTATAGGCCATAAGCATTGTAAAGACATTTTATTACATAATCCAATACTGACTGCTTGCATTCCTCTGTGTGCATTTTATCTTGGCTTTGTGTTCAACTCCCTGAAATATAACCAAATCTGTATTACTTGTGGTAATAAAGGGGTAGTAAATGAACACCACAGAGTAGATTTCCCCTCTTGCTGTGGCCTACTGGCAGCCTTCCCAGCTCTCTAGCTGGTAAAGCAGAAGGGGCTGGACTGGTATAGCATGGAGCTAAATCCCTCCAGCAGTCCTTTTATTGCCCTTACCCCTTGGACTGCAACATTTTGTCCATATTTCCAGTCTAACCTTCTGGTAGATAGTATAGATATTGCTATACTACAATTTACAGAATCTGTGGCTAACAAATCACTGAGAATTGGCTTTGGTTGAAGAAGTGACTAAAAATGAATACACAATGTCTAAGCTTAAAAGCCTGAATTTTTGAATTCTTACTCCTAGTTTATTTCTTTCACAAACTTAATTGACATTACATCTAAATACATTAGCTTCAAAATAATCACAGCATGTAGACCAGCAGCAAAATTAGCACCTCTAGGCCCTGAAATTGAGACCTGGAAAATAACAACTTAGTGAAGAGGACAAGTAGATCTCCGGGAAAACTACAAAGAAACTGAAGACGACACAGAGGAAAGAAAGAAGCAGTCTGAGATGCTAGCAAGCTCCCATAGAGGAGGTCCTGTCTATGAAAAACCAGCTCAGTCCCCAGGAGAAGCTGACACACGGCACCAGCCCTAGGAAAAGCCCACAGGATCTATGCTGCAAACACCAAGTGGGGTTTGCCCTGAATATGACTCCTGCATGACGCATTAGGGTTGGAGAAGAAATTCACTGCCCCAACGGCCATATTTGAGACTGATAGAATCAAGCTATTTTGTAGAGAGGTTTTTGTTTTTTGTGGGTTTTTTTTTGTTTTTTGTTTTTTGTACTGGGGATTGAACTCAGGACCTTGAGCTTGCTAGGCAGGCTGTATGCCGCTGAGCTAAATCCCCGAGAGGTATATTGTTTAAGACAGAGCTACTCCAGCAATCAGAAGTCACAGAATAACTTTACTTTAGAGTGTTCTGGGTTACCCTGTCACAGTGACTGGGTGAAAGACAGCTGCAGGAAAGTCACATAGAAGGAATGGACTAGAAGGAGATTCCCTGAAAAGTTTAAGTCGTGGGTGCTCAGGTTGTGAAGGACGCCATGATCCCACCGTCCAGGGAGAGAAGCCAGCCTGGTGGAGTGATTTTGAGGGGCTGAGTCTGAAAATGCTGACATTAAGTCCAATGGAATGCTTGGCAGCCTGCTTCCAGCACAGCTTAGGGTCTGTTTGCTTTTCCATCTGCCAGTGTGATCAGGGACTTGCCTCAGCGTGGACAGGTGACACATCCAGGAGTATATGGACAGAGGAACCTCTGGAGCAGAGGAGGGACCTAATGGGCCCCTGGCCTTACAGCTAGCCAGAGAAAGCAGAGCTTTGGGGTCACGGGAGGGCACAGACTCTGGGAGCCACTGGAGTGGATTCAAGCCCAAGGGCCAACACACCATCCAAGGACCCTGCCCAGCGGGAGAGGTAGGGCAGGACTGCACATTCACATGCAAGAAGTAGCTCACTCTCCCCACCCAGGATTGTAAAGTACAGTGCATGGCAGTGCTACGGGCCCTAGAAAGAACCACTTGCCCAATCCACAGAGGAATTTTAACTTTCTTTAATTGGAGTTTCTATCCCACTTTTCTTTTTCTTATCTTCCTTTTCTTTTTCAAATTTACTTTTCTTTTTTCATCCTTTACATTCCCCCATTTTTATTTTCATTACTCTTAAGCTTTATTACTTTTTAGCTATTTAGTTGACTGTGCTATCATTGATGAATTCTTTTCTGTTGTTAATGGTAGCATAGCTGTTGCTTTTAATTGGTTTTCTCTGTATGCCAATATCCGGTTTGTGTTTGTTTGTTTATTTTTGGTACTGGGGATCGAACTCAAGTCCTTGTGCTTGTGAGGGAGGCAACAGAACCAGTGAGCTAAATCCTCAGCCCTGGTTTGTCTTTGTATTGTCAACATTACTGCAGCTCCTTTTCTCCTCTCATTGGTGAGACCTAAGGACACAGCACCAGGGAGACTGAACCTAATATCTCCACAGTAGTGACAGTTTTTTTTTCTACCCTAACTGTGCAAAAACAATAGAAAGAAGAGAAAACAAGACAACTCTTAACTCCCAAAAATCTGATCTCTCAGGCACTGAAGCAGAAGACACTATACACAAAGCACTAAAAAACAAATGGTCTAATTGTTTGAGGAGATAGAAGAAACATAAGCAAATGCATATTTATTGATCTCAAAGAAGATTTAAAAGATTTGATGAATAAAATGTTCAACAAGCTTAAAGAAACAAACAATAAACTAATAGAAACAAACAATAAACTAATAGAGTTGCGAAAAAATGCAGTATATGAATGATTACTTTGGAAAAGAATTAGAAAGTATGAGAAGAAAGCAGCATAGATGGGTGATATGAAAAATCCCATGGAAGCAAAGGTTAGCACAGACCTGACCAGGGTGTGGACAGAGTCAGAGACAGAAGACAAAGAAGTGGATGTAGTACATTGAAAACTACATGCTTTTCATTTTCAGGGATACCCTGAAAAAGAGAAAAGAGACCACACAAAAAAGTTGGATCCAACAGCTGCTAGATTACATAAAACTAAAAATTATAGGACTAAAAGAAATATTAGAAGATGACTCAAACGTATAAGAGATTTTTTTCACTGAAATCATTGCAGAAAGTTTTCTAAACCTAGAGTAAGAATTCAATATTCAAATACAAGAGGCTAGCAGGTGTGATGGCACACACCTGTAATCCCAGCACTTGGGAGGCTGAGGCAGAAGGATTGCTGCAAATTTGAAGCCAGCCTGAGCTATATATAGTTCAAGGCCAGCCTGAACTACAAAGTAAGACCCTGTCTCAAAAAAGAAAAGAAAAGGAGAAGAAAAATAAAAAGAGGCTTATAGACCCCAAATAGCTGTGACCAGAAAAGAACCTGTTCCGGATACATCATAATTAGAATTCCAAAAATTTAACAAAAGGAGAGAATACTAAAAGCTGTAAAAAGAAAAACAGCAAGTAGGGGCCGGGGGTTTAGCTCAGTGGTTCGGTGGCCTGCCTTGCAAGCGCAAGGACCTGAGTTCAATCCCCGGTGCCAAAAAAAAAAAAAGGAAAAACAGCAAGTAACTTATAAAGGCAGGAACATAAGAATAACTGAAGATTTCTCAGCACAAACCTCAAACACCAGGAGAGCTTAGAGCAGTTTTTCGAACCCTAAAAGAATTGTCAAATCCAACTTTTATATTCTGTAATTTTAGCTTTCATAATTGATGGAAAAGTAAAGACTACATTACCACTAACCTAGCATTGCAGAATGTATTTAAGGGATTCTTAGATGGACGAGGAGACCATCAGCACCAAAGAACCCAAAAGAAAGCATGTATCTACCTGGGAGAGTAGTTAAAAGAAAAAAAAAAAATAGTACCAAGAAAAGAATGCAATGGCATGTTTCAATAATGTCGTAGAATAATAGCACCCAATGTCAGTGGTCTCTTAACTCCCCAGGTAAAAGATACAGACTGGCAGATTAAATTTTTTTTTTTAATGCAACCATATATTACCTACAGGAGACACACCTCATCCAAAGCAAGTATATAGACCAAAAGTGAAAGAATGGAAAATGGTACTCCATTTAACCAGAGCCCCAAAACAGGCAGGAGTAGCCATCTTATCTTCAGACACAACAGACTTCAAGTCAAAACTAATCAGAAGAGACAAAAATGGCCACTACATACTGGCAAAGGGAATAAATCAACAGGAAGAGATAACACTTGTAAAATCTGTGCCCTGAGTGTTGACTCACCCAATTTCATAACACAGTTATTGGGCTTGAAAGGACAGATACTAGTAGAGTCATGGGGGTAAGGGATCTTCAATACCCTACTCTCATAAACAGCAGTTAAAGCGCACCACTGAGAAAATGGGCTTAACATACCTACAGTGTTTCTGCCAACAACAGAATACACAATTTTTTCAAAAGCACACAGAACTTTTTCCAGAATAAATCATATCTTAGGCCATAAAGTATGCTTAAATACAAGAAAAGAATTGAAATAATTCCCTGCATACTATCAGATCATAGTGAAATGAGGTAAGAAATCAACAGCAAAAGAAGCCACAGAAACTACACAAACACATGGTGATTAAGTAATACATTACTAAATGATCAGTGGATGGGGGAAGAAATAAAAGTTCCTAGAACCAAATGACAGTGAAAGCACGACATTCCAAACCGGTGGGACACAATGAATGCATTCCGAGAGGGAAGCTTATAGCGGTAGATGCTCACATAAAGAGAGGTGATCTCAAATAAATACCTAATGGTACCTCTCAGGATCAAAGACAAGAACAGTCCAAATCTCAGACTAACAGAGGGAAAGAAATCATAAAGATCTGAGCAGATACTAATGAAATTGAGACCAATAAAACAATACAAAGGATCAATGAATCAAAAAGTTGTTTCATTTAAAAGGTAGGAAGGGATTTGGTGATGGGAAAGACAGGACTGAGAGGGGAGGAGAAGGGAAAGTAAAATGGAACCAACTCCCCCTCAATGAATGTATTTACTATGTATCACAATATACTAATAAAAAAGAAAAAATGTATCAGCCTTTTCTTCTTATAGGCCTATTACATTTGCAACAAAAGTTGTTAATGAAGTATTTACTCCTGGAGTTTTTTGCTTGTTTAATTTTTCCGCATTATGTAAAAGACAGTGTACTGCACATAAAGTGTTCTTACTAACCTGACTAGTAATTTATATTCTGTTTAATTCTTACAGCTTTCCATGTGGCCTCGAGTGCATTCTTAAATCATTATTCACCTTGTAAGCATTCACTCCAGCTGTAGCTATACTGTACTCCTTTTCAAGTTATCTGGGTAAAAGAGAGGTGAAGCTTACATTTTTGTCATTTTGGATTCTTGAAACTTTCCTCAAATGCTGGAGGTGTGGCTCATTGGTAGAGCACTTGCTTAGCATGCACACAGCCTGGGTTCCAAAAAAAAAAAAAAAGTTTATTTTATGGCCATTTAAAGTTGTTTAGAGGCTGGGGATTTAGCTCAGTGGTTCCGCCGACTGCTTTGCAAGCACAAGGTCCCAAGTTTGATCCCCAGTACCAAAAAAACAACAAAAGAGGTTTTAGCATATTTCTCAAGGCAAGTTTGGATCTGGGGACTCATCTCAGTGGCGCTGCCACCTGACTCACAAGCACAAGTTCCTGATTTCGATCCCAGTACCCCCCCCTGAAAAAACAAAGAAAAACAAAAACACATAAAGTTGTTTTATTCAGAATAATGGTACTTTTGTTTTGCTTCCCATATGGAAAAGGTGAAATCAGAATTATTTTTTTTAAACAGGGGTATCAAACTCTGGCCCTTACGCTTGCAAAGCAGGCAGCAGAACCATTCATCTAAATCCCCGGCCCCTAGAACTTTTTATAGTAAAAGATTTTTACCTATTAAAGCACTAGCAAATGGTCTGGTTGTCATATTTCAAATGGCAGAGATTTTCA